ATAGAGACGGCCATGACGCTGCTGTCGAGGCAGGCGGGCATCGTCGACTTTGCGCCGCTCAAGCCCCTCTTCCTGGCGTCGTACCTGAGCGCGCGGAGCTTCCTTCCGGCCGCGCCGTCGGTGGGCCCGATGGAGGTGCTGCTGCGGCGCAACAACGAGGAGAGCGAGGGCAAGGTGTCCAAGGCGCTGCCCGCGGCGCCGCGGACCGTGCAGCAGCTGACGTCGGTGGAGCTGCAGGAAGGGTACAAGGCCGTCAGCACCAACAAGCTGGCCGATGCCGAGCACATTTTCCGGTCGCTGCTGCACCAGCTGGTGCTGACGCCCGCCAAGACCGAGGCCGAGGCGAGCGAGGTGAGTCCGATTCGGCCGCGGCGTAGAACCGACGATTGCCGCCCTGGATGACACTAACATCGAGACTCGGTGACTGCCTCCTTGGCGCCCCACAGATCCAGGACCTGATCGTGCTGTGCCGCGAGTACATTCTGGGTGTCTCGATTGAGCTGGGACGGCGGCAGCTGGTGTCGTCGGACCCTGGCAATGTTTCGCGCAACCTGGAGCTGGCCGCGCTGTTTACGCACGCGCAGCTGCAGCCGCCGCACCAGAGCCTTGCGCTGCGGAGCGCCATGACCGAGGCGCGCAAGGTCAACAACTATGCGATGGCGGCGAGCTTTGCACGGCGGTTGCTGGAGCTGTCGCCGGCGCCGGCGATTGCGCAAAAGGCGCAGCAGATTATCTCGCTGGCGGAGCGGAGCCCCAAGGACGCGGTCGACGTGGCGGGCTACGACCCGCTGGAGCGCACGTTTGTCGTCTGCGCGGGCAGCCACGTGCTGATCCCGGCGGGCGGTGTGGGTTCGGTGCAGGACCCGCTGACGGGGGCGCGCTACCTGCCCGAGTTCAAGGGTACGCTCTGCCGCATCTCGCAGATCAGCGAGGTGGGCAAGCTGGGCGGCGGACTGCGCAGCTTTGCCGGGTAGGCTTGGCGGGCCTGCTCTGTCATCTCGCCCTCGATTCCGACGTTGTGCATACGCAATCAAACGACAATACATGCTAGCAGCAGTGACCGATGCCGTCCTGGTATAGAGAGTGACCTGGCCGGTGCCTTTGGACGAGCATGGCCTGGCGGTCTGAATGTGCCCCCGCTGAGCGTGGCGTATCGAGAGGGGCAAGAGGTCGGCGAGGGCCAAACAGCGTTCGCGGATTACATAAGCGTATACGCATGCCCGAATGCCGAGGTGGCCTGCCAATTTTTTTTTTTGGGCGGGGGGATGGCAGGGGCGAGCCAACTTGGCGGCCGGCTGGAATTTTTTTTTTCCTTCGAGACCGGCCCGCGCCCGCCCTCGCCGCCCTCGCCCCCGGTGGCAGCCTAGCTCGCCTGCTCTCTGGTGGGCCCGGCTGGCCAGCTGCCTCGAAGCTCGTCAGGTTGTCGTGGTGGCGGCCACAGCGGCGGCTCAACCGCGGTCACACCCATCCTTCTCAACACCCATCACCATCCGCTGGACTCCTTTCGCTCCATCGCAACTTCTGGCTTCGCTCGCTCCGACCATGGCGACGACGGAAGCAAGCACCACTGCCGCGGGCGTCGCCGCCGACGTCGACGTCGATGGCTTGCACGCCGCCCTCTCCAAGATCCGGCACCACACCTCGTCCAAGCTCGACAACCAGCGCGCCCCCGCCCAGCTCCTCGTCGCCATCGAGTCCACCCTCACCGAACAGGACTCTTCGTCCACCACGGATACCGCGGCGGCAGCGACAGCGGCATCCTCGAGCAGCCTCCAGGCTAGCAAGCACGCCGTCACCCAGCGCCAACCCGCCGAGTACTTTCTCGCACTCGATAGCATGCTCGAGTCCGCTCAGAGCAAACAGGTGAGCTGCCCCCTGATCCTCTTGGCACTTCCGCGCCGCCGCTGCCAGGCTGACTGACCCGCTTCCCATCTTCATCCTCGCAGGCCCCCGCGACGCTGCTGCCCTGCATCATCTACCTCCTCTCCATCGTGACGCCCTACGTCAGCGCAGGCGTCGTACGCGCCCGTCTCACCTCCATCGTGCCCCCCATCGGCGCCATCCTCTCCAAGCCCCACCCCGATACCCACGATGCTGCCACCGCCGAAAACTACCCGGCCACCCTGCGCGCCGCACTGGGCGTGCTCCAGTCGATCCTCTCCACCTTCGCGACCGACCCGGCACCGCTCCAGCGCGATGCTCCCCTTCGCTCCTGCTGGGGTGCCGCACTCAACCTCTGCGCCGACACGCGGCCCAAGGTCCGTCGCCGCGCACAGGAGCTCGTCTGCGCCATCCTGCCCACGTCGTCGGCCCACTTTGCCGCCGCCAAGCCAAAGCACCCGCTCGTCGCCCCCACCTTTGACTGGTGCATCCTCACCCTCTCCACCGTCGCCGACGCCGGCTCCGTCGTCTCTGCCAAGTCCAAAAAGGCCAAAAAGCAGGCAGCAGCAGCAGCCACGGCACCCCAGTACGACAAGAAGTCGGGCAAGGCCAAAGAGGCCTCGGCCGCAGCGGCGCTCCGGCAGCAGCGCGTGTCCGAGGGCGACAATGCTAGCGTCGGCATCTGGACCTGCGGCTTCGTACGCCAGATTGTCAACGTCCTCCCCGCCGCCTCGGTCGACCCGCTCTGCGCCGTCCTGCTCCGCCTTCCGGGGCTTCAGAATCCCTTCCTCAGCGTCGCTGCACTCGATGTCTTTGAGGCTATCTTCAAAAACTGTCGCTCGCCGGCGCTCGCCAACCCATCAGCTGCACTCCTGGCCGGGCCGGCGGCAGCGGCGTCGGCATCGCAGACCAATTCTTCGATTGGAGAAAAGACGCTCGTCCACCTGATCGGCTCGCTGCGGTCGTCCGGCGTCAAGCCCTCCACGACCGACGTCCAGCTCATCCCGTCGTACCTCCGCGCCCTCGAGCAGGCCATTGTGGCCTACTCGCAGTTTGACGAGGGACGGGCAGCTTGGGCCATCGTACCCGAGGTCTGGAGCGACGTTTTTGCCATGGCGCTCTCGACCAAGTCGGATGCCAGCCGCACGTCGCCGCTGGTGCGCGCCGCCGGACGCGATGCGCTCTGTGCCCTGGTGCGCTACTGTGTGCCGGACGCCGCCATCGCCGAGGCCATCCGTGCCCACCGCGCTGGCTCGCCCGACAAGGACGCCGACGCCTTCCTGCAGATGATCCAGTCGATCGAGGACGCGCTGGGTCGCCAGTCGCTCCAGTACGTCCAGTCGCGGCCCGAGATCCTCAGCATCCTCACCGCCGTTCTCGGCCGCCTGCGCCACCGCTACATGGACGAGAACGAGGCCAGCACCGGGAAGCGCCAGGCCGCGGCGGGCCCGCTCACCTTCCACCTGGTCAAGCAGGTGGCCGACCTCCGTGCGCAGCCCAACTTCGACCACCGCGAGTACGCCGACGCCGTCATCAGCACCGCCGTCGAGGTGTGCGGGCCGCGCATGGTGCTCGACGCGCTGCCGCTCAACCTCTTTGGCGAGAGCGGCGACGGCGGCAACGGCCGCGCGTGGCTGCTGCCGCTGATGCGCAACAAGATCACCAACGCCGAGCTGTCGCACTTTACCCAGTTCTTTGTGCCCCTCAGCGAGCGCCTCTTCAACAAGCGCGCCGAGGTGCAGCAGGAGCGCCCCGTCGAGGCCAAGATGTGGGAGGCGCTCACCGAGCAGGTGTGGGCGTGTTTCCCCTCGTACTGCGACATGCCCGTTGACCTGTTCGCAGCCTTCACGCGTCAGTTTGCCGAGCTCCTCACCAACGTCCTGTACACGCAGCCTGGTCTGCGGCCGAGCGTCTGCCGCGGCCTCCAGGCGCTCGTGGAGCGCAGCGAGGCGCTGGTCCACTCGGGCGCCGACTCGGCCACGCTCAAGCAGGCCTTTGCGCTCGACCAGGCCGACGGCAAGGCCAACGTGGCCCACCTGGCCGCGCTGGCGCCCAACCTGCTCGCCGTCCTCTTCAACGTCTTCTCGCAATCGCCCAGCTCGTCGCGCGGCTACATCTACGAGTGCATCTGCACCTACCTCTCGATCATGAAGGACGACGACATCGTCAGCACCTACACCAAGGTCAAGGGCACGCTCGAGCAGTCGCTGGGCTCGCTGCCGCCCAAGGGCAAGTCGACCAAGGAGGGCTCGGGCGCCATCCCGCCCGTCCCGCACACGATGCTCGACCTGCTCGTGGCCCTGGTGCCCTTCCTCGCCAAGGCCAACGCCGACGGTGCGGCGGACCTCTTCGGCTTCGCGTGCGAGGACCGCCTGCTCCGCAGCCACGACGCCGGCGTGCAGAAGAAGACGTACAAGATCCTCAGCCGCCTGGTCGAGGGCTCGACGGGCCGCCAGGTGCTTCGCCTCGGCGGCAGCGGCGACGGAAGCGGCTCCGCCGGCAACCGCGTCGGCGAGCTCCTGGCGCGCCTCCGCGACAGCACCGCCGACGTGGCCTCGGGCGCCAAGCGCGACCGCATCCTGCTGCTTGCCACGCTCGTGCCCAACATCCCCGCCGACCAGCTCCACTTCCTGCCCGCGATCATCCCCGAGGCCGTGCTGGCCACCAAGGAGTCGAACCAGGCCACGCGCGACCATGCCTACGAGCTTCTGGTCCAGATGGGCCACAAGATGGCCGCTGGCGGAACCATCAACCGCGGCCTCGTTGCCGGCACCGCCGCGGCCGCCGCTGCTGCTGCCGACGACGACGAGATGGAGGACCCGTCGGCCGCCGCGGCTGCCGCCGGCACCGTCGTCGAGGCGAGCGTCGGCGAGTACCTGACCATGGTGGCTGCGGGCATGGCCGGCGCGACGCCGCACATGATCAGCGCGTCGATCACGGCCATCTCGCGCCTTGTGTACGAGTTCAAGGAGGAGCTGCCGGCCGACATGCTCGACGAGATGCTGTCGACGGTCGAGGTGTTCCTGCAGAGCGCCAACCGCGAGATTGTCAAGGGCGCGCTGGGCTTTGTCAAGGTGGCCATCGTCGACTACCCGTCGTCGCTGCTCGACCGGCACCTGGCCGCGCTGATCCCGGCGCTCATGGGCTGGAGCTCAGAGCACACGATGCACTTCAAGCCCAAGATCCGCCACATGTTTGAGCGCCTGCTGCGCCGCTTCGGCTACGACCGCATCCACGATCTGTGCCCCGAGGAGAACCGCAAGGTGATTGTCAACATCCGCAAGCGCAAGGAGCGCGCCAAGCGCCAGAAGAACCAGGACGGCGAAGGCGGCGGCGACGCTGCCATGTCCGACGACGACGGCGCCGCCGCCGGCCCGCGTGCACCCAAGCGCTCGACGGGCAACGATGCGTTCGAGGAGGTCATCTATGGCAGCGAGAGCGAGCTCTCCGACGACGACGATGACGACGACGTCGATGGCGAGGGCGAGGGCAAGGGCAAGGGCGCCGCGGCCAGGCTGCAAAAGGGCGGCGCTGGCAAGAAGGGCGCCGAGGTCGGCGGCGGCGGCCGCAAGGCGAGGAACCGACGGCAGCACGAGGACCAGGCGTACATCATGGAGGACGACGACGAGCCCATGGACCTGCTGGACCGCTCGGCGGCGGTGCGCATCACGGCGGGCAACCCCAACGCCAAGGCGGACCGACGCCGCAAGCCGGGCCAGGACGCGCGGCGGTTCGGCCTCGACGAGGCGACTGGCCGCATGGTCATCAACGCGTCCGACGACGAGGGCGGCGGCGCTGCCCCCTCGGCCGCTCAGATGCTCGCCGCTGCCGACGGCGAGGGCGACGGCGACGTCGACGTGGTGGGTGCCGGACGCGCCTACCTGGAAAAGGACCGCGGGCGCGACGGCTTCACGCTCTCGCGCGGCGGGGCGGTCAAGTTTAACAAGAACAACAAGCGTTCGCGCGAGCAGGAGCGCGAGATGGACGAGGCGCAGATGGCCGCCGAGGATGCTGCCGAAGCCGCTGCGCGCGGTGGCGGCGCAGCAAAGGAGGGCAGCGGCGCGGGCGGCGACAAGGGCAATGCGAGCAAGAAGCGGAGGAGGGAAAAGGAGCGCATCGGCGGCGAGTTCCGCGCGCGCAAGGCCGAGGGCGACGTCATGAAGAACGGAAAGAGCCCCTACGCCTACGTGCCCCTGTCGCAGGTGGCCGGCAAAAAGTCCAAGGGCAAGGGGCAGGAGATTGGCTTCACCACTGGTAAGCGCAACAAGCGCAGGTGAGACGTGGGTAGTAGGAGGTGGCCCGGCGTAGGGTGTGGATGCGGAGGGAAGAGGAGGGGGAGGAGGAGCGAGGTGGCGCGGCAGTGGTGCGTGCCCGCCTGACCATCGACGCTTTTGGTTGTTCACGATGATCTCTTGTCAATTCCATACGATCCCCATCTCGCCCCGCCCCGGTCTCGCGGAAAGGGATATCTCCCCGCCCTTGGGCGATGCCAGGCTCGGGCATCAACCCCGACCCCTGTTGGACTGCATCAACCTCTGTCGCTGTCGGGCCAAACGAGCCTGGATGGTGTCCAGCTTGCCTCCCTTTGCCCCGTCTCTTGACCCGCCTTCCTCCTCCTCTTGTCGTTGCACACCCTCTTCGTCGTCATCGGGCTGATTCAGGAATCGACTCCAAAACCCCTTTCCGTAATTGACCGTCAACTCTGTTCCGGCACGGACGGGTTTAGAGTCGGTGTAGATGCCCATTCCTACCTGTTGTCGCTCCGCGCCGCTCGTGGTGGTGGACGACAAGGAGGACGACGACGAGGGCGCGGGGGAGGACCAGTTGTCGAGTCGACAGTTGGGTCGTGGCATGATACCGCGGTAGTCGTTTACGACTGCATCCTCCCCGGCCCGGCAGGGCAGAATCAGACGCGGAGACGGTGGAACGCATCAGGGGCGCGGCTCGACGACAGCTTCCTCCATGGGACAATGGGGGGATGCGGACGGGAGGGGAAGGGGGGG